CAGGGTCGGGAAAGTGGGGCAATAGGATTAGGTGGTCTATGTTTGGATGGAGGAATTAGTGACTTAGTGTTACAATAAGCATGGAGGAGGAGGAGGAGGAGGAGGAAGATAGATAATTATTATTGAAGGTAGCTATGTGCAATAAAAGACTCTTGCAAGCCAAATTTAAGTCTGAAAGTCACAATGTATGCCAACTAGAGAATGCTTCTCAAATGTGTGGGTTTTCATCACTACAGAGTAAAGACTGAACGAGTATGAAGTAACAATATGAAAAGAACTTGTAACATGTTCTGGGTTGTGATTATTCAACAGGCCCCTCATCCCTGGATGTGGCCTCCTTCGACTAGTGCTGATTTCAAGATAAGGAAATTGAGTTGGTTTCATGTTACAGTCAGCTTAAATATTGATCGAATGGTTGGAATTCAATAAATGGGGAAGTTTGCTGGAAAGAGATGTCGCATCAAGATTTGGATAATGCTAAGTAGTTTCATTGGAATTCTTGAATGAGGATAGGTTTCAATGATAAAGAAAAAGAGTTAAGAAAATTGGTGGACAAAATGGGGGGACTAAGAAGAAGAAAAGATAAGATCATCAAAGTAACTGTGGGAGAGCAGATCTCCTCAATTTCCTCTTACTGAATTTCACAAGTTCTGGTGACAAAATAAATTAGCTTAAAGGAACAAATCTATTAAAGAATATGCTCTTCATTTTACTCACTCATTTATTAGTTATACCAAGTTTTGTTTTAAACAGTATCTCTTCTAAAATTTTCTGCAGATGGGTCAGGAAACAATGGTTGTTGTTATAGCTGTTTTTTCAGATTACATATTTTGAAGAGAGTTTGAGATCAGCAAGTGAATATGGTTGTTGAGAAACAGGGATCCAAGAGTGGAGGTTATGTTGGTGGCTTCCTGCAGTTATTTGATTGGAATGCAAAGTCACGGAAGAAATTGTTCTCTAGCAAGTCTGACATACCAGGTAAACGCTGAAATGTGTGTGAACAATGGATAGAACCTTTGATTCTTCCATGTCCATTTATAGTGGTAGAACTTCAAGAAAACTATGTTGTCAAATATTATAATTCCTATGCCTTTTGCAGAGCTATCCAAACAGAAGAAGAGATGTGATGGTAACTTGCCTATGACTCGTGTTCATTTGGTCGGTATTAAATAGTTAATTAAGCTCTCTCATCTTTTCTTTTGCCACCTACTTGGAGATTACATTTTCCTGTTGTACTTTTTCATGCTGAAACTATTTTGATTGCAGAACAATGAGGATGACACTACAGCTGTGTCCAGTATCAAAGGTAGCAGTGACTACAGTTGTGCCTCATCAGTAACTGATGAGGAATATTATGGAATCAAACCTGCTGGTGTCGTTGCAAGGCTTATGGGATTGGATTGCTTGCCATCCTCTACTTTGTCAGAGCCTTACTCTACTCCATTTTTCGATTCCCAGTCTCTAAGAAGTGCTCCTTCCCTTTCGAGAAACCTTGAATACCAGCAAAATTTTCAAACAGTTTATTCCAGCAACCTCCATGAGAAGATAGAGGATCTAGGCAGGAGCTCATTCGAGCCAAAGCAACAGAAGATAATCAGCAGGCCCATCGAGAAGTTTCAGACGGAGATTTTGCCTCCTAAGTCGGCTAAATCAATCCCAGCCACTCATTATAAGGCTCTATCCCCAATCAAAAGGGCCAATTCTATCCCACCTCAGAATGCAGCTCACATAATGGAAACAGCTGCCAGAATACTTGATGCAGGACCTCAAGCGACTTCAAAAGTAAAATCGCCCCTAATTAGATCTTCTTCAGTACCCTTGAAGTATAAAGATTTAATAGGAAGGGCTGAAGCTTCTCAAAAGGTAGCCAAGATTGCTGAAGCTTCTCGGAGGCCAGCTGAGTCTAATGCTTCGAAGTATCTTAAAGGGCAACCTATGAATAAGAGCTGGAGTGGGTCGGCAGATATAGCCAGGCAGAAGGATTTCTCAGATTCTGATGACTCTTTTGGTGGAGGCAAAACTAAAGGAAAATCTGTTTCACTAGCCTTGCAAGCAAAAGTGAATGTTCAGAAAAGAGAGGGCCTAAATGCAGGCAGTAGCAGAAGCATTCTTGTCCAGAAAGAATCACCAAGTAAAGGCATCTCAAACCAGTTGTTTACAAGCCAACCTAGTACAGAAAAGAACACACACAAGAAGTCATCTGTACATAATAGTTCAAGTGTTCTGCGGCAGAATAATCAGAAACAAAATAGTATAGCTGATAGGGGCAAGTCACCTTCTAAGCAATTTCTTTCCAATTCACAAGGAAAACGAACACTCAGTGGTGATTCTTCCTTTGCGCGACAGAGAAGTTCAGGTAAAATGGCTGAAAACTCCAAAGTCAGCTCCAGACGGTTGAGCAGAGAAGCAGACAATAAAAAGGAAGAAGCATATTCTTGTACTAAAAGTGTGTCACGTAAGAAACGGCCTAGTGATGGCGATATCCAGTATGAGAAAAATCAGGCTACTGGAAGTATGTCTACTCATAAAAGTGGGAAGCTGATTCAGTCTGGCACATTCATGGATAGGGAAATAAGCTGGGGTGAGAACAGTAAAGGGAAAGGGACAGACATTATTTCTTTCTCTTTCACTACTCCCCTAGCTCGATCGGTGCCCACGGCTGAGCCCCCAAGAGAAGTATTAGGGAAAAGTAATGAGTTTAGCACAGACTTTCGAAGTAACAATATGCAGCTCACCTCAGATTGTATGAATAATCTCAAGGCTCCTTTGGGGCATCATAACTTGAGTGGAGGGGATGCTTTGAGCACTCTTTTGGATCAAAAGTTAAGAGAATTATCTTCTGTAGTTGAGTCTTCACGCCAGAAAACATCCAATAGTTCTTCATCAATTTTTGAGGACCTGTCACCATCTCTGAATGGTTTATCAAAGACCACCATGTTGCATGTTAACAGGAACCATGATGACATGGAAGTGGATGATTTAGTCAGCCCTTGCAACCCTGGGTTTTCTTCTACTGTTCCTCTGGGAATCACTGGGCAGCACAAGCATCAGGTATGTATCATAGGTTTTGCAAAATTCTGTTTTTGCACTTGAATCTTTATTGTATTTAGTTTGCCACTCAAAAGAGGTATTTAGTTAACATACCTCTTTTGATACATCAACTGATATTCTTATACTGTATTCCTTGTCATCTGATAATTTCTATTTGAACATTCAGATGACTCTATGTTAACCTGCATTCCTTGTTAGCCCTTTTGTTCCTTTTAATGACTTGATGTTTTGCGGTCTTTGGATTTGACTTAGTATGGTGTTGGACGTCTTTGGCTAAAACTTTCTTCTCTGGTTATATACTTTTGGTTCAATGTACTTTTGGTAATTGTATTTGCTCTATTTGGTTAAGAACTCTTTTTTTATTAAATTATAGAAAGCTTGCTTTCTACTAAGTAGATGGAAAACCTCTCAATTTCATCATTTAATCTGTATCATTTCAGGTGGTTGAAGAGGAACTGAGTGGGTACGGTAGCAGTGAATATGAATGCAGGAAGCTGTTTGGCAGTCGGTTCCTGAGCCCTATTTCTGTTCTTGAGCAATCTTTTCTTACTGAAAGTTGCAATTCTTCTGATACTGCAGAAAGTAACAATACAGGAGGTAAGATCATCAGACCTGGTGCCTTTATTTTTATGCATGAATAATACACTGGTAATTTGTGTTATGAACATAGGTTGAGACTATAGATAATCTGAACATTATCTAATGAATTTCAGCTTGCAAGCAAAGTTCATCGGTACAAGCTAAAGAAGTGTTTGGTATATGCTCGTGGAATAAGTTCCAATCTATGGAACCTGAGGTAGATTTGTTAGACTCTGCCTCTTCAACTTTTGGTAAAGAGGAGGAAAGGAAATCACCAAATTGGGAGCTGGAATATGTGAAGGAAATAGTATACAATATTGAGTCGATGTTCATGGATTTCACAATGGGAAGGTGTCAGAAGATCATCAATCCACACCTTTTTGATCAACTGGAAAGGATAAATATTCATAGACATGACGAGCTAAAACAAAGGCGAAAGGTTGTATTTGATTGTGTGGGTGAATGCTTGGACTTGAGATGTAAGCAGTTTGTGGAGGGTGGATATGACTCATGGTCAAAAGGTGTATTGGTGGTTAAAAACAAGAAGAGGCTAGCAGAAGAAGTATATAGGGAAATTTCAGGGTGGAGTGGCATGGGAAACTACATGGTTGATGAACTCGTTGACAAGGACATGAGCAGCGGTTTTGGAAGATGGATGAACTTTGAAGTTGAAGCATTTGAACTGGGAATACAGATCGAGAAACGATTGCTAAATTCATTGATTGATGAAGTAGTTGCTGACATCTTGCTACTCTAAAAAGATTTTTATCTTCATCCTCTTGATACAATTCTTGATCTTGCTCCATGCGAGTGCACATTCTTCTTGTATGTTTTCTTCATACATCTCTTATGATTAGAAAAATTAAACTGAAACCAGCTTTTGGATGTTCATGTACTTACATTATATAGATTGTTTTGTTGGAGGTGATGTTACCAGAATATCAAAATCCATATTTCATTTTTCAGCTTTTTATCATTCTGTCCATTTTTGTCTTGCGAAACTTGTATGGGCAGTAAGTTCCATTTTATACAGATTCAAAGTAAAGTTGTCAAGGGGCCAGGAGATACCAGTCTGGTTTAGGAAAATATTTTGAAGTGTGGGTTTGATTGAAATTCGATCGAGTTGAGTTGAAATCTGATCGAGTTGAGATAATCAAGCAGAGTTATTCAGTCCTTTAGTAGTCCCATTATACAAAAAGTACATGCAAAGTCTAAACTGGACAAGTAAAAGTGAACGGAATAAAAGACCATTGAAAAGCAAAAGTGGATGATTGGAAAAGCAAAAATGCAAAAAAGAAGAAAACAGGAACTAATTAATCAGTACTAGTACTGGATTCTTATATATGAGTACATTTTTTCGATGATTAATCCTAAGGAGGTGCAAGTCGTAGATGAAGATCAACTTCCGTTCCATCAACATCTTGATTTTGAACGGCCATCATGTGTTGTTGTTGGCGCAAATGTATCTGATATCGAAGTGGAACCCCTGAAAGTATCTGTGACCGATAATACCTCACGTTATTATTAATCAGCGCTCCTGTTCTTACTGCGTGTGCATTAATCAATGGAACTACAGGACGGAAACGCTGTTGATAACCGATAAATTTAGCTCGTCTTGTTCTTTGCCTTTCCTTTTTATGTGCATTTTGGTGTCCACCTAGTGCTTGAGAATTCGCAAATTCTCTATGACAAAATTGGCATTCAAATCTCTTGTCCTCCGATGGAACAAGTGGCGGAGGAGTGGTTTGATCACATTCCGTCACCTGAAAACCAAATAGTTTCACTTGTCTTGGTGATGATGAAGAGAAGTTAGTTTGTACTGAGCTTTCTCCCATATTTTTTGTCACAAAACTGATGCTTCTGAAAATAATAAAGTCATAATGGAGCGGTCTTGTATTTATAGAGAAGATAGAAACATATATTCTCATTCATGCTCTAAAAGTAGTTGGGGCCAAATTAAAAGGATGTGCACTTATTTGTTTTATTCATAGTCATATTATTTCACTTTTCCATTTCAAAACTATACTAGAGTGATTTAATAAATAAATAAATAAATAAATAATATTCCTTTCATTTTAATTCGTGACATAACACATAATTTAAATGATTACATAATCCAAAGAATTTTAGGATGAACAATGGTTGTACAAAACACTTCCTCAGGTAGCATGTCACATCGTTTATTTTTCAATTTAATTATCAAAGGGTACATACGCATAATCCCTTATCACTATTCATCAGATTCTTTTCATGTGCCCACACTAATTCATCACAACAATACTTTGATCAACTACAAATTTAAGACATAATCGTAACATGATCCGCTAGTCGTAATACAGTGTTTAGAGTCATAAGTGACCTTAAGCTAGTTCATAATTTGACATAATACTAAGATTCATACAAATAATAATTGAAGACAACTCATGCGAAAGTTAAACTGAAATAAATCTAAAGCAACTGAATAGTCAAAATAGAAACTATTTGGACAAATCATAAAGTTAAAACTACCGTCTGACTGTCTGAAAGCTTCTTCGAAGATGAGTTGTTGGGATAAGTCCTCAACTAAGTCTAACTATTTGAAACTAAAGGATTAACATAAAGAAATAACAATAGCTCTTGTCTTCGAAAGATGAGGACTCACCAAGCTCATTAGTTGAGATGATACGAAAATTTACTAACTGCGAGCTGAATATTAAGTGTCTGAACATATATTATAGAACAATAGAGCGCGAAAGAGTATGCATTTAGTAATTTAAATATATTGAATATGTGAGATAAACACAATAATCTTACAAGATGAACACCATAAATTTAAGATGTTGAACTAAATATAAAACATAAATATATTAGCTGATGTATCGACCAAGTAATAAGCATGTAACTAATCAACCATATACTAAGTAAACTGAAATACAAGGTCATCAAATATCTAATTATTGTGAGAGATACTATTAACTGACATACTTGACATATTTCATCTGAGCTAAACAGAGTCCAATCTGTACACCAACTAGAAGGGTGTTCTATAATTTGTCAGGGTACAAACACTATGTAACATGAAACTACTAAGGTGATGTCCAAAAAGGACTAAATTGTCAGTCTTGGTCTCATGGATGACTCTTAAAACCTATGTTGGCGCGTAGTTCTAAGATTTAAAGATTACTATCAAAGATCCCAGTCCTAGCTGAGATATGAGTCTTAAACCTATGTTGTCAGTTAGTTTTGAGACTTAGATGATATTGCTATCAAAGGTCTCGATTCTTATTGACGGATAAATCTTCATCCCTATGTTTGCTCGGTGCTAAATAACATTTCCAATTAACTTAAACGGATAAACTACATAAGACTAATAATATTTGATAGCTCAATAATACGAAAATTAGAGATTGAAATAACAAATGCTTTATATGAAAGTATCATATACCTATGGACCTAAAAGATTAAAGAAAACTGATCATGACAAATTTTATCATCCTGAATAAAGCATGTAATATGATTTAAAAGACATGAATTTTTCCTCTTCTAAGGGCTTTCAAAAATAACCATATAAATATTGAATTTTAGGTAAAAATACGTATTAATGGGCTATTCATGAAAAAAAGAAGATGTAATTTATGTTTTCATATGAACGGTAGATTCTGTAGAATTTCATTAACTGAAGAATAAGGTTTTCTTTTGAATTTAATGGATGAAAAAATACCCATCAATGAAATTTCACATACCTGAAATGGAAAATCTTTACTAATAGTCTATCTAACTATAATACACTAGCATATCATTCTTTCACATATAACTACTACTTATTCATTTGTACGTCCAAATTATATAATTCTTAGCTCTATAGGTATCAAACGCTTCCTTTTAAAATCACAGTGCAGCCCAGATCTATCAATCTTTAACCACTTCATAATTTTATTAATGACTTGTTGTTCATCTTGTATTCCAAACATACTTAGAACAAAACTTTGAACATCTTTATAAGAAAACAAAGTTTAAGAACATTTTCACAACTAGAAAATTAAAACTAGTAGCGAAACTAGAATCAGAAACAGATTTTAAAAAAATATACGAAATATTTTTCTTAAAGAAGAATTATTGTTAATATGTGTCTAAAGAATGTTACTGATTCCAACAAACTTTGCAGAAACACGAAGTTACCAAGTTTAATGAACCAGTGAACAACAAAAGAATAGAAGAACTGAAATTAATTCACAAATCTAAAGTTTGTAAAACACATACCAGAATCTGAAAAAATTTTAATAGAAAAAAGATCAAGTCCACTGAATTCATAGTGTCCCCTTAAGGAAATTATTATACTGTTAGTATTTTTTTTATGCTACTGATTGAGAGAATCTGATCATGGAAGTAGAAGATGAATGAATTACTTCTCCATAATTCGTTGCTTTGCTTTAGCAAAGTCGAAGTGAGAATGTAACAAATTTTTTTTAAGGTATTCCATTTAAAGATTATTAGGTAACCTTCTTATTAAATTATCTAAGGAGGAAAATAGTTTCTAAGAGTAATCGTGTTTGATTTTTTTATTTTTTTATTATGTGTATCTTTGGAAAAAGATTTGCAAACCATATGTTGTGTAATGAATTTTACTTCGCAGATATTGTTGCTTTTAAAAATTCTTTAGTTTGCAAAAATGAGAGATGCATATTTTTGTTTGATAAAATAGTATGTCAAATTGTTATAGTTGAAACACTATTTGATAAGAAAAATATTTCTATGTGATAAAGAATATGTGTTATTCTGTTTGGAAAAAAAAAGACTTTTGTAGTTTTGTATTCCATGAGAAATTTAAGTGTGTCTGATTTTTGTAGACTAAAAACTTTTGTGGTTTTATACTCTGGATAAATTGGACTCTGCAATTGGTTTGAAGAATATGAAAACTTCACATAATAAGTCAGTGTTGTACTTTTGATGTAACATAAAAATAAATTGTACAATTTTGTTTTGTCCTTATTGTTAATATTTAAAATACGAAGTGACATGTCTATTTATGATAGACAAAAAATACCAGTGACTTAGAATTTGTGATTTTGTGTCTCTATGGAATGAACTTTGACATTGTGTAAACATTGTCAAAGAGAATTGCAGCACTATAATTCTTTCGTAGAATAATGTTTTTCCAACATTAAAATATGTGAAAAAACTATTTTCAAATACTTGAAAAATATTTTTGAGATCACATTTGAAATGTGGGAGTTATTTGCTTATGATTAGACTTGGTGTCTAATTTAATTTTGGAACAAAAGATATGTAATTCAATGATGCTTTTGTATTATGTTATACCCACAAAATTCTTGGAGTATCTTTGGTATTGTGGTTGTTGAGTTTCTCTATTACTAGTATATAGTGTGACTAGTATGAAACATCCAAATTATATATATACTTGTTCAAAATAATTGTGTTCTTTTATGAAAAAGAAACTTAAAATGTTGTGATTTTTCATGAAAAGATATGTCTATTATAATAAAAGTATTTGCATAGACATGAATATTGGTGAATAGTCATTTGTTATGTTTTTGTAAAAAATAACAGTTGGACTATATTGTTTTTATTGAACCCGATGAAACTTTGTTCATAGGTAGTTCTATAACAATCACATTGAAAGTTATGAAAATGTCAATCTGAAAAGGATATTTGACAATCTAAACAATGTTTGTATCACACAAAATTGTAAGAAATAGGAACAAATATTAGTGAAGAAAAAGCTACCCCGCGAAGAGCTTTACAAACTCAATGTTTTTATTTGTTCTTACTTGCTTGAGTCAATGTATGTGACATGAACACTTGGGGCATGTCAACTACAAAACCTTGTAAGAAAAACTGATCAACTTAGAAGTTTTGCCTAACTTTGAGTGCAATAAATAAAAATGTCAAGTTTTTGTGGAATCTAAGTATGTTGAGCAATTTTATAAATCTTTTGAAAGGAATTTTAATCCATTAGAATTGATTTACACTGACATTTATGATATGAAGTTAACACCATCTCATGGTGGGAAAAAATATTTGTTACTTTTATTGAGAATTGCATTAGAAATGACTATGTCTATTTGCTAAATGGTAAGGATTAAGCAATAGAAATGTCTAGACAATGTAATATCGAAGTTGATAATCAGTGTGAAAAAATATATAAGAAGTGATTAGAATGGAGAGTATAAATCTCATTGTGCAGAAATATGTTTGAAAAGTGAAATATCAAACTACTGCCATATTTACCTCAATCTAATGAAAAACCGAACGTTGAAAGAAATGATGGATGCATTATTTATAAGTTCGGGTTTGCACAAAACTTGTGTGGAGGAACTATCCCTACTGCAAAAGGGATCAAATTTTTTTTTTGTCCTTTTAGAAAGAAAGCAATTTTGTTTTATGAGAATACAATCTTTTCCATATGAGAAATGGAAAGAAAGGAAAATCCAACTTGAAATATTTCAAAGTGTGGGGGTATCTAGTCAAAGTCCAAGATCCTATTCCTAAAAGAATTAAAATAGGACCTATGACTGTGGACTGTAAAATTAGACTTGAGTAGTCTAGAGAAGGGTCTAAAAGGCCTAGGAAATGAAAAGGATAATGTACTTAATAAAGAGATTCAGAGGCTTAGTAAAATGTTAAAGAACATTTACTTCCTTCGAATATGATTTTGCAACATTTTCTGTGTCTTCTGTAGACTCATCCTTTGGAAAGATGGTGTCAATAAACAATATTGAAAGTTAATTGATCTTTTCAAGAAAATAAACCTTTGGGTTCAAAATGAATCTTTAGAAGGAAAAATAACAGTTGATGGAACTGTTGAAAAATATAAAGCAAGATTTTGTGTCAAAGG